CGGGTGACAACGCATCTGCATTTTGATTCGTATCTGAGTATAGATGTAGATGTCTATGTGTCATAGCAACCGCTTACCATGAGGTGGACTGTGTGCTCGTTTGTCACCCTATCTTATAAAAAAAAAAAAGATTTGTGAAATAATAATAGAAGGGGGAGTTGATCGAGCAAGTAGATGAGTTTGTATATTTGGGCTGCGTTATTAGCAGGGATGGGAGATATGATAAGGATATAGAACGACGAGTGAATGCGGGAAATAGAGTAAATGGGGCCTTGCACTCTATTGTGAAGAGTCAAAATGTGTCGAAAAAGGCACGTATGGCAATTCACAATGCTGTGTTGGTCCCTGCTTTAACGAATGGTGGTGAAAGTTGGGTGTGGCAGAAGAAGCACGAGAGTAGAATAAACGCAGTAGAAATGCGGTCGTTAAGGAGTATGTTAGGGCTGAATCTGAGTGACAGGGTAAGAAATTGTGTAATAAGAGAAGAGTGTGGTTTGCAAGATGATGTTGTGACCAGGATTAAGAAAGGAATGCTTCGGTGGTTTGGTCATGTGGAAAGAATGAATGAGGAAAGAGTGACAAAGAAAATTTATGGTGCAGAAGTGAATGGCAGAGTCGGAAAGGGACGTCCTAGGCGAAAATTTATCGACCAAATTGGCGATTTATTGAAAACGAGCCAAATTAGGAGTACCCTTAACCAATGAGCATGTATGCGTAGGTGTATGGATGTGAAGGAGGCAAGAGAGGTGTGTCAGGTTCGTGCCAAATGGAAGTCTGTAATCTCTGCCTACCCCTCTGGGTGACAGGCGTGAGTGTTTTTGTTTATGTTATGTTATGAATATTAGAAATAATATGGGTCCCCAAATTGGAGCCTTGTGGAATGCCCTTCTTTAAGGTTGTCAATTTAGAATTGTATACCCTTTCGATCACCGTCTATTATTGTTTTAATCTCAATAAATTGTTTCCTATTAGATAAGTAGGATTCTAATGATTAAAATTAAGCCTCTTACTCCATAATGTTCCAATTTCAGTAGCGTGTATCAAGATTTATCCTGTCAAAAGCCGAACTTCAATCTAAAATAAGCCTTATATAACCTTATATTTATCATTAATTCAACTACATCATCGACTAGCGTATTTATAGTATCTGTATTATAAGGTGTATTGTAAGAATCCGATGAACGGATTCTACAATTCCCCGTATGATATAACTTTTCATTACTATTTTTATGATATATTTTCCCTCTGTTATCCTGTATTTTATGTAACCTATCCGCGAGGACGGGGCTGGTGATCAGTAACTCAGTTTTTATTATAAAATCAGTAATAGGCAATATTCTCTACAACGTTAGGTCCATACTCCTTACTACATTTTTACTGTAAACTAGCCACTGAGTTGTGAAGAGTTAAATAAATTGAGTTGAATTGAATTCTAGCGGATAAGAATGAATGACCCTTATGTCAATGAGGGCCAATCCACGACTTTTTTGTGCCCCACCACCACTTAAAATGAGGTGTAATATTTGACAGATTTCATAGGGGGGAAGTTTATTTGTTCGAAAATTGTAAAGGTTAATGTTTCTTTCTGTACTATTAGTTATATTTTATATTTATTAGATCAAAAATAAATAAACCAAACCACAGATATTCATAAAAGTAGAAAAATTCGAAAAAGAGTTAAAATGTGCAAAAAATTAAACAGAAAATCACTGAGACATTGTTTTGTGATGATTTCTTAAATTTACGCGAACACTACACATTGAATAAAACTAAATTTACGGATTCTATCGCATTTATTTAACTGATTTTACTTATTTTTAATTCCCGACGTTTCGAGTGCTTTACAGCACCCATGGTCACTGGGGGGGGGGGGACTGAGATGTTTGACGTCCCAATGTCATTGTTAGCCCGGCTAACTTCAGTTTTTGAATATTAATTTTTGCTTGGGTTTGGGTTTAATTTTGTTAATTATAGGATCATTTCACCTCATTGTCTACTGGCTACATCTCGTAAGCGGAAAATTATTAAACTACACTGAAGCATTTTTAAATCAAAATGATTTTGTTATGGAAATTGTATGAAAACACCCGTAAATTACCCAGTAGAGACATGTTTACTTTGGGCGTTTGTTTAAAGAAGATATCGTCATAGATATTTTTGCTGGTCCGAAATGACATATCTAATAAATATTACAATTACAATTTCCATTTCACTTTTCTACATAATTCTATAAATAAAAAAATGCATGATTGTTGTACTTATTTGGTAGGCATTCGAATATTAAATTAACAAATAAACTTGCGAACACCCGAACCTATGTAAGGTTTATTATTTATGTAAGGTTATCCTTAACCCTAATTAATGTGTTATCTAATAATCTTTATGCTTTCAATCCTTATATAGTATATATATTTATCTTAAATTTATACTAGTGTCGTTTTTTGAAGTCTTAACATTACGTTTCGGTCGCGGCTGGGTTGGATAGGTGGCAGGTGACTTTGTAAAGAGCTCTGGAAGTTTTTCTTTATTAAAATTTGAAAAATAATCAATACTCCCTGCTTCACCCCCGGCGACGCGATTTTCATCATCTTCACGCATTCTTCTATGTAGCAGCAGCTGTAAAGATGTCGGACTGTTCACCGCTTGTCGATGAGACTAGGGTTTGGGTCCCGGGACGTCTCGTGTCTCGAAGTCCCGGGATTTTTTGTAATTTTAGTTGTCTCGAGTCCCGGGACTTTCGTGTCGAGACTCGAGACGAGACAAGATTGTCGAATTTGTTATGTTATCAGTTTTATTTTCAAATAATTGAAGGAGCCTAACGCCATCTGTTAGTTAAATTAAAAAAACAGTTTCAGTTGTTCAAATTTGAAAATGCACAGTAAGTTTGGAACTACTGTATAAAGCCTTAAACGCAATTTAATCGACAAGTTTGAACAACTGAAATTCCTTTTTATAATTTAACAACCGGAAAAAGCACAGGAAGTTTGGAACTGACATCTGTAGAAAACGAGAGTGTGTGTTCCTTGTCCAGTGGCATTATTACAAAAATCAGAAACAGATTGTCGAACAAAGCTGTTGACGCTTTGATTTTTTTAAAAGCCTATTTTATTAAATAAGCAAGGAAGTCTAATTAATGTGTTAGTTAATTATTTGAAAGTCTGATTTATAAGTGAGTGTTTTATGATTTTTATTAAAATTATTAAATATGAAACAAATCTGTGATAAGGAGAATTAACAATGTTGTGATTATGACCAATGATTAGATACTAGAGTTACAAGATAATAGTAAAGTTATTAAGAATTAGTATGATTTTTAACTAAGTTCGTTTTGTAACTATAAGATTTAACTGCTTAAAAGTGAATCTGTGTCAAATTAAAAGAAATAGACAAAGCAACTGTTAAAACTGAAATTAACTTTTAAGTTATTAAGATTTAATTTTCTGTTTAATAAATGTTGATTTTTAAAAGACATTAACTAATTAAAATCCTTCAAAAATGGGTCAACCCTTTTAATATTTTTTTATCTTAAAAGTCGAATACCCGGGAATTCCCGGGAGTTTGATAGTAAACTGTCTCGTGTCCCGGGACTTTGAAATTGTCGAGAAATCCAAAACTCTAGATAAGACATAATTTCTCATTTTGAACTTCGTTCTTCCTATTTCTTCGAGAAAAAGGTTCTAGAGCGCCTCGTACCGGAAGGCGATGTGTAGGTCGGCCCACCACTAGATGGAGGGATGCCCTGGTAAGATATGCAGGAAAAGTCTCAGGCTCAGGACCGTGCTTTGTGGCATTCTTTGGGGGTGGCCCATAGAATACTATAATACACAATAGAATGGCTGTCAAACTTATTTTGTACGAGATTCGGCGTCGCCGGCAGCACACATACAAGCAATTACGTCCTATTATCACTACTACAAACCCGATTCGCTGTTTTGACAGACTGAGTAAATTTACACATTTTAACTTGTGATTAATGTTCAAAATCATCATTAAAAAAATCGTTTACATTTTAATACATATTTATATGTAAATAGTGTGCAATTTGATATTTTCTAAATAATTTGCATTTACATTTTCAATTTTTGAAATTTAGAAACGATTGTTACGTCAAAACACATCTCGTGTTGACATTTATACGTGTGAATTGACATGTTAGTGACATTTTAGTGGATACACGGGCTCCGCCCACCCCCGTTCTATGATGTATGTATTATAGTATTCTATAGGGAGGCCTATGTTGAGCAGTGGGCTTGTGAAGGGCTGTAATGATGATGATGATGATGACAGATTAATAATATTCCACATAACCTCAAAAGAACCTATTGCATAATTACTAGATTCTCCGTACTTTAAAAAATGTACTTAATGCTATAACTTGTTTTATTTAAATTGACAAATAAAACGCTATTTGTTTAATCAAGTTACGTAATTTTAGATTTTGTTAGTCCAAGCGAGTTATGGTCCAAAAACCAACGCTTAAAAAACTGTTTGAATTTATTGTGGCTAGTCTTTTTATGGTTATATACAATGGTTGTGTACACAAACACCTATTTTCAGTTTTGCTTGAAAACAACTGAAAACAGAACTAGAAACTGAAAACGGGTGACTCAGGTAAGCTATGAAAGGTGTCGTACCTGTCAATGTAATAAAATGAATTTGCTGAGGCTGATAATGGTTATACAACTTGTTGCATATATAACCATTGTAATGTTCTATAAAAATACTACCTATAGTAAATTCAAACAGTTTTTAGGCACTGGTTCTCCGTCTATTAGGTGAGTGACCATTGTTCTTTTAAAATAAGTGGAGTAGGCCGCTCAAACTTTTGATCTTTTTTTACATTGACATGCGTCGAAAGACCGATAGTGGATGACAAAGTGTACATTTGTGTTCAAACTGCGCACATATGCAAATGCCCGTGCCACATTTAGCGACTTTGAAGTAATTTGGAGCTAAGTCTGGTACAGGCGTGTAACATTGGAATATCGTGTTGGATGCAGCGTGGAGAAGCGGAGGCTGTACGGCGAAGCGGAGCAGCTGTACCGGCGCGCGCTGAAGATGCTGGGCCCGCGCGAGACGTGCGGCGCCGCGTCCGTGTGGGAGCTGGTGTCGTGGGAGCTGTCCTGCCATCTGTACACGCGGGCCGTGCTCATGCAGGACTGCCCGCAGCTATACGAAAACGTAACCTGTCACTGTACAATAAATGTGACTAATTGTCCATGTGGGGGTAGCGTAAGAATATCTAAAGTCCCTTGGATGTCGTGAGAGACGGCAGAAGGAAAAAAAAACCAAGAAATGGGCAGCAGTCTCTTCCTAACAACAACTAGAAATCAAAAAACTGCAGTTTACCAACCCGCCTAGCGTGGCTAAAATGTCAAATGCGACAACTTCTGAGACTTATTTGGCAGAAGACTTTGATAGGCTGTAAAGAAAATGAGGAAGTATGACAGACAAGCACACACTCCACCTCATGGTTAGGAATGCTGGAACACATGTACCCCCGTAAGGCAATCTATAGGGGGGGGGGCTATGTTCAGCAATGGACTCTAAAAGGCTGTAACGATAATTCACCCTCATGACTAAATTGGATTCTTTTCAACCCCATCAAAAAATTTGCTTTTTAAATTTACTACCTATTATATCTTTAACAGGAAGTGACTGAGGTTGCCGAAGCGTTTAAACACGCTCTCAAGTACTGCCTCCTGAGTCCAGGGCCTAGGCAGTATCTCTATCAGTTTCGAGCGGCTATGATATACCATCGGCTGGGTTCTTTATACCATTCACAGTTCAGGTAAGTTCTTATTAGTTTTTATTTTTGTAACTTTTATTTTTAAATTTTTGTAATAAGTATGCGTCGAATGTGCGAGTCGTCTGTTACTGTGGACGAATATCTCCCTATCAACTGTGATGATAAGGGTAAATACTCCGTACAAAAAGAGGGGCACTGATAATGAAGAAGAAAAAAGAACAACACATCAAGTGATCATCTTCACAATCATCATATTTTATTTACCCTGATTTATGCATTGTATTCATAAATAAAATGTGTGTCTTTAATTTTCGAGCAAAAGGCTCCTTACCTTGATAATATTTGAAAGTCTAAAGTTCAACATACGATTTTCCTGGTGCGTGATTTTTCAGGATCACATGAGCACTTTCCCTGATTGAACCGACCCATTCGTGCTACAACCATAATATAGCTGCAGCATGGCTCTACTTCGTGTAAAAATACTAGAAGCGTTTGTTTTAGAAAGACGCGTTGGACGCTAATGATAAAGATTGCTTCAGAATAACGCAGGAGGACGGGCCGAAGCGGCGGACGCTGCTTAATGCGACGCGCACCAACTACGAAGCTGCGGCGAACCTGTTCGCGGGGCTTGAGGATGCCGCCATGTTCCTCACCGTGCGCCTTGAACACGTCGCTGCACTGGAGGCGCACGCCGCAGGTTGGTGTCCACAGCACACCTTCACACTACTACACCATAGCTCCATACCTCCACACTTCACACCTCCCTACTTCCACACCATTCTACATAACGCTTCTATATCACGCTTCTGTACCCCAATCTCATACTTCCATATCACACTTCTACATCACACTTCTACACCACAGCTCCACACCTCCACACATCCACACCTTCACACTTCCACACCTCCACATTTCCACACATCCACACCTCCTCTTCCACATTTCCATACCTCCATACTTCCACACCATTCTACACAACGCTTCTATATCACGCTTCTATACCACAATCCCATACTTCCATATCACACTTCTACACTGCAGGTCCACACCTCCACACTTCCACACCTCTACACTTTCATACTTCTACACTTCCACACCTCCATATTTCCACACCTCTATACTTCTACACCATCGTACTTTCACACATCCATACCACACCATATCTCCACACTTCTACACCTTCACACCTCCATAGCACACCTTACCTCCACATCTCCATACTTCCACACCACTCTTCTACTACAACACCTCCATACCACACCACACCTCCACACTTCTACACCTTTACAACTACACACTTTCACGCCTCCATACTTCCATATATCCACATTTCCATACTTCCACAGCTTCATACTTCCACACCACACTTCTACACCAAACTTCGACATCAAACTTCTACACCACACTTCTACACCACATCTCCATACCTAAACTCCACATTTCTACACCTTCACGTCTCGAGATTTCCACATCACACTTCTATATCACTTTCCTACACCACTAACACACACACACCTAGAACACACCTAGAACACACCTATTCTTTAACCGTGAAGTGACACCGACCTATATCGTATAGGAAGCGGTAGAGGGAAACAAACCGATAGATAGGCCCCGGCGTCTTCATAATAACAACAAAAGATATAAAACTGCGGTTGCAAATCACTTGCCAAGCGTGGCAACTATTGAAAATATACTTTCTATCCTCATCTACGAGCGACTTCGATAGGCACGCTGTAACGATAACGGTAACGATGGCTGCGTTTGGCAGAAGAAAGCGCTAGGAAGCGCTTGTAAGCAAAATGGCGATCGTAAGCGGTAAGCGCTGTCAAATCGTAAGTAGCTATTTTCCTCTAGGACACGAAGCTAGCTCAAACCGGGGAACCTAACCTAATTTAAATATATGTTTGTAAAGTATTCATATTAAAAAATTAGCAATCATGAATTTTTAATAACATGCATAATATGTTTATTCATGTCATTATATTACTTGAAACTAATATTGCACAAAACTACTTATAAATTCTACTTCAAAACAAACAAAGTAAATAAGCGAAATGGCGGATTGTGTTAGCGCTACTGAAGTTAGCAAACGTGTCCTGGTCGAAAACTGTTTAGTTTTGTCATTTTACTTACAAGCGCTTACTAGCGCTTTTTTCTGCTAAACTCAGCCGATCACTCATTTTTAACCTACATGTTACGACTTTTAGTTTTTAAACACGTGTCCATATACATATTGCACAGCCTTGGGAACCTACACAACACTCTATGACACAATATATGAATATCAAAACAGTGTGTGTATGCCCCGTCGATCCTGACAACCACTAGAATTCCTTTAAAGAGATTTCAATCACTACCAGCCCCCAAACAAGGCCAAGGTTTGCCATAAAGCAGCCTTGTACACTCTGATAGGCCTTTTCGAAGTCTAAAAATTTACAGAAAACTTATTCTAGTGAAAAAACTACTAGAGATTTAGATGATAAAATCATATGATTACCTAGTAGCGTTAATCACCGGAGAGACGCGCTAAGAGGTTTATTACTAACCTTGATATGGCTGAAAACTTTGTCAGCCTCACACACAGGCACAAAGACGCCGGCCTTTTTTATTTTTTTATTTAATCTTTATTATACACCTTATATGCTAATTCTCTGCCAGTCAACCCTGGTTGATTTGAGAAACTGTGGCAGGTGTAATTAATCACTTCATAAATAAATATATAAGCATATAAAACAAAATGAAATGCAAATGAATAGAATATATATAGTTAGTGAAATATACATACGTACTTAATATATAATATAGGATAAATAATAAATATATAAACGGGTACTTCTATACACAATCTATAAGTAAATAAAATATTAGGAGACAAAAAATCAAATAACACAATACATATTAAAATACATTATATGAAATATTACTTATAAAGTGAAAGAGAAAAAAAAAACAAAAGTCGGATAGTCAGGTAGTATTATTCTTACGACAGAATTCTCGAACTAGTCTTTTAAAAGTAAGGCATTCCAGAGCAGTATGGACTGCACAGTAAAAGAGGAATTAAAGAAACCACTCCTATGTGGTGGAATACGAATTTTAAGACAATTTTGGGAACGGGGAACTCTATCGTCAGTAGAATATAAATATTGAAAGTTATCCTTAAAATAAGAGGGAGAATTGGGGTCATTTAAAATTGAATGTAGTACTTGCAAAGTTCGGGAGCTACGCCTTTGACGAATAGAGAGCCATTTAAGCTTAGATCGGTACTGGGAAATATGGTCATACTTACGTAAGCCGAAAATGAATCTAATACAATTGTTGAGAAGGCGCTCCAACTTATCGAGAAGATATTGAGTAACACACATCCGCATAGTCAATAATGGGTAATATCAAAGTCTGGATTAGCAGAAGTTTAGTTTTAAAAGGCAGAAAGTTTTTGAGACGACAAAGAGAACGTAACGTGGCAGTTACTTTACGGCTTGTTTCGGCAACTGTAACTCCCCAGCTCAAGGTATGGTCTATATGTAAGCCAAGATTTTTGACAGACTTACAAAATGGCAGCAATGTTCCATTGTAAAATGCGGGAGCAAGATTATCGTTATTAATCTTAACCAACAATCTGCTACTACCTATAACCAATGCTTTGCATTTGGTTGGGTTAACCAAAACACCATGTCTGTACGACCAATCTCTTACGGCATCGAGGTTGTGGTTGAGTTTATGAATATTATCGTTAAGGTCGTTAATACTAGATTGCACATAGAGCTGAAGATCATCTGCATACAGATGGTACGAACAGTTGGGAACTGAAGTGATGGAAGCCTTTCGGTATCTTTAGTCTATAGCATACGTTTTGGAGAGTATGCGCTTGAATTACATGTCTTAATTCCTCCCTCCTCTTCACCATCGGACTACCACGCGGACGATGGATTTTCAACCCTTTATCGTTGATATTCTACGCATTTGAACCAAGCGGTTTGTTCGGCTTTTGTTATGCATGCAGAAAAGGTCTTACTGTCCTAATACAACCTAAGTGTTTTTAAGGCAGTGCTATATACCGTTTAAGGCTGCGTCACAAGCACTTACTTATATTAAGGCGATACCTCCAGCGAACGACCTTGAGCGTTTGGTCTGTCGACGCTCGCTACAATATATCGCGTAAGAAATCGCCAAAAGACGCCACCTACTGCTACGAACGTAGTATTATTTTTTCAATGTCAATGAACTATTCTATGGAAATAGACACGGCGTACAATGATAAATGTATTTTAATTTTCTTTATTCGGTATATTAGTTGCATTATATTAGAATTATGTATTCTAATATATTATCTAATTAATAAAAATGACTATTTTGATTATTTTTTACTATATACTATACTGCTAATATTGAATTAGCTTTTTATAGTGTAAATTATAATATTTGTCGAAATATTATAATTATGGATTCGAACTTTACATGCTAATGGTGCTTCATTTTTGTTATTTTCATTTACTTACATATTGAAAATATACTTGAATAGTAGGTATTATTATTTTATTTAGCTACTGAATTTTAGGATATGTTTTACCTTGAGGTCAAATATAATTTTGAGGAGCAATAGTTATTACCTACTAATCTTTTATATGCTATTCCTTATTTAGGAACAATATTAGTAAATTGAGTTTGAGGGAGATTTACTGTTTATAATGCTAAATTTATTATTTTAATATTTACCTACTGGTAATTATTAAAATAATAAATATAGCATTAGTAACTAAATAGATTTTTTTTTTAAATTTTTAAAATTAAAATTTTCGTATTTTTTAAAAATTACTAAAAAAAAAGGGTTTGAAATAATAGATTTTCTCATAAAAGAAGGGAACTTGAAAAAAAAAAAGGAAAAAAAGCGGGACCAAAGCCAAGACGCGAACCACGGAACTCCGATATCACGCCCGACCGACATACCACCTGAGCTATAACGACCGTTAGTAATTTGTCGAAATTTACCTTCTTATATTGTAGCAGTTTTGGACACAAGAACATTTTCTAAAAATAAATCCAAGCGTTCGTCGCTAAAATCGTTGGAGCCGTATAATTTTCTCATCTGGTTCGGTTATATAAATATTTAAACATATAAAAAATATAAATTAAAATGAAAATATAAATATACATAAATATCAATAAAATAATAAATACAAAATAATATTATATTATTACTGTTATTATTATTATTATAAGTTGTGGTTCGGTGAAGCTGCAACCTAATGGACCATGATCTGAAATTTTTATGAAAAGAAGTGGCTGACGTCAATTATTATTATTCTTATTATTTTTCATTACTGCCTTTTTCAACCTCAAGATATTTGTAACTGCAAAAAAGAAAACTACGTATAAGTAAGTAAATCAGTAATATAGTGTTATGTATGATTCAGACTAAATAAAGGTTCCTAAAAATAGACGTAGATAAAGAAATTGCATAAAAAATTACTCAAATAAAAATGCAATAAACTTGTCAATTTTATAGGTACTTAGTAAAATATTAAAATAATAAGTTTTTTAGGATATTTATGTAAAACATAAAGGTTATATTATGTTCTAACTACGTTCACGCTTGCGCATATAAAACCGCGGAATTTCACTAGTTTTATTATCAAAATAATAATTGACAACCCTACCCTAAGTTTGCCTTGATTTTACCAACTCAAACTCGTTTTA